GGGTGATAGTCCCGCTGGTTGTCGAGATCCGGCGCCAACCTACCGTCGGCTAGCGGGGTTTTCGCAACCAGGTGTCTCCCACCAGTGGGGCACCGCACCAGCCAAGACAAGCTCTAATCTCCCGACCGGCCTCCTGGCATGTGTGGAAGTAGAGTTCAAATAAGTGTAAGTGTGTAGGATAATGTGTTGGTAAGGGGTAGAATAGGACAAGGAATGGGAAGGAAATATCGCGCGCTGTCCGTGGCCAGTTTGGTACTGCTCCGACATTCGCCTGGTATTGAATTTAAGTGATGTTACATAATGTCGGAAAAGCGTAAAATCGATCGTAAGTGCAGGGCATTCCAGATAAAATGGATTGTTTTGTGAAATGGAAAGGTAAACCACTTTGTTTGTTCCTACCAAACTATTGAGGTTTGTAACGAATTTATTTTTAAGAGGTTCTATGATACAAAACATTGAATTAAATTTGACTGTTACTCTGATAAAATACGCGTGGACAAACTTTCACATTTAAAATCTAAACTTCAAGGCCAATTGTCGCGGTTTACAAAAGTTTACAAACTCAAAAGATCAATACCTTACACACGCTTGCACTTATAATCCAAACTTATACAATATAAACTAAACTTCCATTAGACATCACTTATTTGCATTATTTTAAATGCTCTTGCAATGGCGTCAAGCGGGTTGCGTCAAGCAGGGTGGCAGCGATTGAAAGTGCTCAGCTTGACGTGCTCCTACAGTAAACAGTGTGCATACAACATATTACAGTAAACGTGGTATGTTCAAACGCGAAATCTAAAATAAATGTTACTTGTATTATGTGTCTACGTTTTGTCTGAAGAAATTTTGAGATTTTTGACCGTCTCAATTATCAATTTTTTTAACTCATATAATTGAAAATAAACATTTAAAACTATTTGTATAGCTGAAATAATGATTTTAAATGTGTGAAAATCTATAAAAACAGACGGATTTAAAAACAAAATTTAATTCCAGAAAATGCTCTTTCTCGACAGCGCCTCATCTGTCTACGACCCGAGGGAGCGAGAGAAGCGCCGCCTGACCTGGAGGCGACGACACTTCGATTGGTGAGAAAGATACGCCTGTGACTCAATGCGATGGCCCGCACTCGCTGCCACTGACACTCAGTTTGCACAGGCGCGTTGTGCTGGGTTGTTGTGACTTGGTCTCAGTCAAGACGAGCGGAAATATAATCGAAATTTGGGCGTGGATACGTAATTGTACGGTTCTTATTGACAGATCGTCGATTAATTTCTACGTCGTCAGTGGTGGAATATTTAGTGCAAATGGGCATTAAACGACTGGAATGGTGCCTTAATAAAGATTGCAATGGTGGCTTCAGTGAAGTAAATATTCGTGATATGGTATCAAGAGCAGTGACAAGAAAAGTTATGGTCGTAGATGGAAATCAATTATATGAGAGTTATCTTTACGACAGATTCCAGTGGATCTGTGGCGGAATTGTGGAGTACGTCCAAGAAGTTCGCACGTTCGTGGAAAAATTCGAAGCAATTGGCCTTACACTAGTTTTCTTTTTTGATACAGTTGACACTGTACCTACTAAGCGAGCACTCTGGATTGAACGCCGAAAAGGAAATATTAAGTCCTCTAAAGAAGTGATTAATGCACTCAGAAGAGGGGAATATCCCCCTCAACGGCATTTTAAAGACAGACCTCTGAATGTTAAATTTTTAACTATACACTTCCTGCGCGAAGTGATGCAATGCGAAGTTCATTGTTCAAATAACAAAATAAAAAGTTCAGCAATATACGCTGCTGAACAAAATTGTTTCGCAATTTTGTCTCAAAATTCGTATTATGTGTTTCATCCAGATGTGCCAGCTTATTTATCATTGAAAGCTTTGAACATAGAAGAAATGACGACAATACAGTACAATATTGGTGCCTTCTGGAAACATGTTCAGTTGGAACAAAACTTTTTCCCCCTGTTGGCCACAATTGTAGGGGAGAACAGTTTGAAGGACACTAAACATCCAATTGAAGTGGCAAGGGAAAATATTAAGAAGATCGTTTATCAAAAAATTAACGAGAGTCGCAAAACATGCTATTTTGTGTGTGTATCCAAATTCATCCATAACCATTTCGAAGGACATAACATGGAGAATGTCCCAAAGTTCTTGACAGAACAATTTGGAGCAGATGGTCAAAAATTAACTTCATCTTATTTTGAATTTAAGGAAATGTTTAGTCTTCAGAAACTTCAACCTTCAAATCCAAGCACTTCTTGGGAAATGATTCTTGAACACGCTCAAAGACTATACTCATCTGGAGAAATATGTTCAGAAATTTATAATGTATTACACCATAACATTTACGAGCATCACACTATTCTTGAAAACTTTGAAGAGCATTTAGGAAGTGGTGAGACATATAGATTGTTGCGGCAGCAACTTTATTCCATATTGCTCTATGAAGCCCCACAAAATTCTCTTCATACAATTACAGAATGGTGTGTAAGTGATGATGCAACATCTCTCACACCCCTTGAAGTAGTTGTTGTACCTGCAACTATAAATTTACACCCTGGTCTTCTGACTCTCTGGGATACCAACAATATGTCCCATGATCTGCAAAGTAAGAAATGGAAGATGTTTGTTGATGGCTTTGCCCCTACACATACTAATCTTGATTATAATTTCTTTTGTAACCTGCCACGAAATTTGGTAGTCCCTGTTGCAGTACTTTTTTATCTTCAACATGAAGTACCCAAGACATTGTTATGTGAAAAAATACTTGAGCCTTGGGAAGTAGAAGTGTTTATTGCCATAGGAATGATTCTGTCAAAAAAAGAGAAAGATGTATCTAGGATTAAAATCTCACCTGGTACAACCAATGTCAGAGCAGTGCAGCTATCTGCTTTATTCATGTGTGGTTGTCAAACAGTGCAATGGTTAGTACAAGCATGTGGTTTAGAAAAAGTAATTGACAGTCAAATTTATCATTATTTTGATGGTAAATTGTTTCATAACTTGTGTGAAAAAGCCAAATGGAATTGTGGCACTTGGAATTGGCACTCATTCTTGGAATCTGATGTAATGTTTGATACTTTTCAGAAAATTAAACAAAAGATTTTGTAAATAAATTCTCAGTAATTTATAATTTTTTAAAAAGAGGTTTAAATAAGTGCTGAAAACTGCAGGTATATAAATATACAATTGAATCACAGCAAGTAATTCTTCAACATCCATTTAAATACTATTTTTGCTACCTGGATTTTTCCTAAGGTAATAATCAGTTTACCACATATTTTATGAATTTGGAGCAACCCATTCTGAAGTCCTCCCAAAAAAAATATGCAAAAGCTACACATTTCTTACTACATACTTGTATTTATATGTAATAATGATTAATATTCAGATATTTATGGCCATTCACTTTCATCAGTAGTATTTTTCCCAATTGTAGCACAAAACAGAATGTCTAACACAATTGCTATTCTCTCATCTTATGAAAGAATTTTTGTATGTACAAAACTGTCAATGTCTTATACTAGGAAACTTTAATGCCTAAAGGGTAGTTCTGCATTAGGTCACAGCATTTATGTTTGTACTATCTGTGTTCACAAAGTATTCGTTATCCAATTCATTCAGAGTGCAATATCTTTTGTTGTTTAGCTATTTACTAATGTACATGTGTAATAGCAGAGCAAGAAGAGTAGTGAATTTCACTAATTATATTCTCCTCATTACTCATATGCACTAATTTAATTTAATAAGAAACATGCATTCCAGTTGTTTTTAATTTGAATGTGATTTGTGTAAGAAAATGCAATTCAATGTAATCTTATTTTGATGACCATTTGGTACATTAGATTAAAAAAAAATATATATTCAAACATGTCAAGTTGCTTTTATTGAGAAAAACAAACATCAAAACCAGTTCCTCCTTTAGGTTGTAAGAATAACAGAACTTGTCAGTCTGGTCATTTGATTGATTTATCAAGAAAATTCTACATAGATTAATTTCATTTCATTCTCGTAATTGTTCATGAATTTTTAAAGATTGTCTTGTACTCATGGTTTTCATTAGTAGTGTTTTAATAACTTGTTTTAATAACTTCTAATAGAGAAAATTGTCTTTCTATAAACCTCATCTTAGTGAAGCACAACATATGAAAATTTTTAAATAATATAGAATGATGCTTGAAATTTTAAACAAAAACATCTAATATATCTTTATGAACCGATTAATATATATACAATAATAAGAATAAAAAAATAATTGAAACTTGATTTTGACTGAATAAAAAAAACCTCTAAATGTTGTTCAAAAAACCAAGTTCTCAGTGCCATACCTCAGGCCAGTCTCAATGGATCTTCAGAGTAGTTAAGAATTGCAGGTGTATTTTATTGTAATGGATTTTTGACCTTAATAAAACAGACTCAGTAGTAGTTTTTAACAACTTCTCTTTTTTGACATTTCAGACAATTTGTTGTTGTTTTTCAATAATCTATTGACAAGGTTTGTTGAACTACAATTGTAAACAAACAGTTCACATTTTGATAAAAAATTGTCAATGGGTAAAAATGTGGCCAGATGATGTTTACAACTTGACTAGGGTTTTTATACCATTGACAATTTTTTATCAAAATTCAAACTGTTTGTTGATAATGTGGTTTCAACAAACATGGACAAACGAATTTTGAAAAAGACCGCAAATTGGGTCAATTTATATAAATTAAAAAAAAAGTCTGTTTTATTAAGACCAAAAATCTATTGCAATAAAATAAATAAGATAACAGACATATATTCATTAAAAATATATCTTTGATTAACAGTAAAGATGTATTTTTCATTAATATAAGATATTGTTTAGCAATCGTGCCTGGAAATATTTATTGGTCAAAGGTTTATCACTTTAAATATGAATGCAAAGGCTCATTTTTATAATCCATTCTCAACCTTCATACTCGCCAAATCTTCTGAATCTTAGCAGGAAATGACACATCCTGTGAAGAGAGATAAGCAAACAGAATGGAACTAGTGAAGTTTCTCAAATCGCATGAAGCACTTAAAGGATAAGACTTCATTTATGCATGAGACTGGAGGATGTGAATGGTTTATTCACCCAGCAGAGATGAAATGAGATCAGGCTGGATTTATGATGTGCATAATGTTTTGTTGATTATTCTGAGTTCTTAAATTTTAAATTTGTGACTAGAGAATGTTAGTCTTATTGTTTTCACTGATAGAATTAAGTTGTGTGAAAGGTAGCACCAAAATTATCAATACAGGCTGTGAAGTTGACATCCAGTTTAATTTGCAACCACAGCTGCAATGGAGGTAAGAAAATTAAGAAAAGTTTGCTTTGGATGAAAGTTATTACAAATTAAGTAGCTTACTTTGCAGAAAGTAATATTGTGTTGTGTTTTAAATGTATGGTTTAACTTCTCTGAATTATTATCAAATTATATGAAAAGGACGTTGTTTGCAATTTATTAAAGATGTGTCATTTCTGATGATGAAAACAATGACTTAAACTCAAAAGATGTGCAATAATTTTTAGAGGTTTAGTAAAGTTATGGAGATAGGCACATTCAGACTAAAATGATATAGTAGAAGTTAAGGTAAAATTATTATATATGATTCTATAATTTTTTCAGGCAAAACTCTGCACCTGTTCTTTTCTTTGAAATCTATTATCCTTTTGGAATGTGTAATTTTTCATCTCTAAAACAAAACCAAAGGGTTAAAAATCCTTCATGTATTTTCAAAGATGCTCCATTAGATCAGAATGAAAATCTTGAAGTGCAGTTTGTGAACATTTCCGTTTGGGAATCTCAATTTGCTTATGTAAATTTAACAGCAAATATCATTCACTACAACATTCAAAAGGCTTTGTTTCGTGTACCAGAAGAGCTAGAAGGAACTGTACACTGTCGGTTGCAATCAAGAGACGATAAATCAAATGCAATCACGAGGTTGATTTCTGAGAGGTAATAATATGTGTTAGTTTCTCTACTGTACTAGTTTTAGTACTAGTACTCTAATGTGCTAGTTTTTATTATTTTTTTAATTAAAAAAAAATTGCTTCTTATTGGGTCTTAGCAAGAATAGAAATATCACTATAGAGCAAACATTCAACCCATTCTTATTACACCCTAATTGCTCTACAGAAATATTGCATACTGGTTTGAAGCAAATAATGGGGCCTCATTAAGTATCAGATCAAACCTGAAGAAGGTAAAGTGGGAAAGTGTAATATTAATACAGCATGTGCAAATACAAGAACTATATCTGCTTTTGAATTTAAATAAAACGTGAAGTTTTTAACTACAAAATATTAATTCCCTATCTTTATTTACAGAAAGTAGTCTGTGGTCAACTGATCAGAAGCTACTTTAAACTACGCAATTTTTGCCTACAGATGGCACTGAAAGCAATATGCAATATTTCTATAGAGTCATCTATTGGACTTAGAAACTAACTGACATAAAATCACATGCCATGCATTAGACCTTTGGTTATCCAATTAAGATTTGAAAAATGTAAACTTCACAAATACCAATGTTTAAAATAGGAAAATTATTTGTTTGTTGTTGTTGCTTTTTTTTTCAATATATGGGAGCTAATAAATTAAAAATCAATACACTTCCGCTAAATACCCAGTCAATTATCATACATTATGTTTCTCATTGCACATCACCTCTCAACTGCCCCTACAGCTATTCCTTCCACTCTCATTATTTCTCACTTGATTCTCAAGCATTCTCTCACAGCCTTGCTTGGGAAATCCTTGAATCCCTGTCCCGTATTTTTTTGACAGGAAAATAGAATGCTAAAATGTCCTTTTTTGTGACAATGGCTTATCAGCATAAAATGCTATCAACAATATTAAATTTATCATACTATATTCCGTTTGCTTTGCATTTGCTTATAAAAGATTAAGTGAGACAATATATTTTGCCACATAATAAGGGTGTTTAGAGAGTTGGTTGAGGTTTCTAGGAATAAAAATGCAGCATTGGCATCGTTTTAACTTGCCTTATTGCTAATGATATTGTTATGGAGAAATTCAATAATTCAATTCTTCTGCTTCTGTGCAACTTAGTATGCAATGTTAATTAAAAAATACTGACTTTCTTCATAATGAAAGAAAGTGAAAATTATACAAATGGATTTTTTTTTTTTTTAATTTCTAATGTTCCTTTCTGATGGATTCTTTAGTTGGCATGAATTTAATGCTACTACAGTATGAAAGTTATATGTGTATATGTGATGAAATTGTGTTTAAAGTCCTCTTTTCACCCCTTTATCTTTGTGACAAAAACTAAAATGTCCCGTTTTTATGATTTTAAAATATGATCACCTTACTTTCTTGCATTCATATTTTACATAATTATGAATGCTTATTAGAAGAGTGTAAAATAAATAATCTTAAAAATGAATTAGAACTCATGGTACATAATATTGTCTCAAAAATATTCTAGTACTTTGTTTCATCTGTGCAGGGAGGGCAGCAAGACAACAGCATATGTCACTGTACATTATAATTCAAGCGTGTGTTTGTCCCCCAACTGCTCACGTGATGATTGGAAGAAAGCTTCTAATAACTTAACCACCATCTTGAAAAATGAAATAAAATTGAGAATAGAAGTAAGAGCAATGGTAAATGACTTTGAGTAAGTGCTTCTTCTGTTCACATTACAATAAGTAAATATTGTCATAACTATAAATCATTGGCACCAGCAATTTAAATCAAACGGGAGATAACACTAAGGTTAAAACTATTGTTCATTAACTAAAACTTAAATGATTTGATAGATAATCCTTGAGGCATTCCTTCTTACTGTTAGTAATATTTTTTAAAATATTATTTTCACTTTGACCATTGAAGTTACATGGTATGTGTTATCTGATTTAAGTAAAATTAATTGTGAAAATGATCTTATGATTTATATTCCAATAAATCAATTCAAGTAGGCCTACTATTGTTTTGTAGTATCCAACTTAATTCATGTACTATTGAAATAGATACATGCTTATTTCACCAAGTAGCCTAAAAATTATTTGTCATATATGGTGTGGAAACTTTGTGATGTAATTAATCATTTATCTTATAATTCAATACGATTTGTCTGTATTATAGACCCCTATTCTGAGACACCATACGTGTGTCCAGCCCTAACACAATGGGGGAACAAATACATTTTCAAGTCCCATTTTCTATATACCATTTTTGTCTCATGATATATTTATTTGTGAATAAATAAAACATACTAAAGAAGAATGCAATTATAACTTTAAAGACACTGTTACTTACAAACTACAATTGAAGGGTTCGGTTCTAGCAAGTCCAATGCCACATTTTCAATACAAAGAAAATAATCCTATTAATCATATCGAGTATTAAATTTTGTGCAATTATCTGGTGCTGGTGTAGCCAATGATTCTGTATGATAGAGGAGACGTTTCTTCTTTTCTCTGTGAAGGTATGTCTGACTGAAAACTTAATCTTCTTACTTCTCACAATGACCAATGAAATCAACAACAAACCCTTCAGTTCATTTTAAACTACATTCAGGATTAATGGATGACTTGACCTTTCCCCTAATGTATTGTAGCTAGAGCCTCGAAGTTGGCAAAATGCCTTCTTTTATTTCTAAGATTTTATGACTTTTAACAATAGGAATCACTTAAGTACTTGAGTTGTTTTAATAGATTTTCATTTTGCCTATTGTAGCCTACTTTATCTTATGATGTCCATTTTTGGTATTTTGCTTTCTTTGTGCCTTTTTCTTCCTTTTTTGCCATAATTTTCCTTGTTTTCTTCTGGCACTGATGTTGATCAAGCTGGGAATATGTCTGCAAGCCAGAACAACACAAAGGCATGGTTGTGTTTTAGTATTTCTGTGGAAGCGGAGGCCCCACGGTCGGGTAGGGTAAAAAATCTAAATGAGAAAGGAATATCACACCAGTCAAGATTTTCAATTTTGTACATTCATACCATTTGGCTTTGTACCCTCCCAAGGAATCCCTTCATATGTTTGAGTATGGCTTCTGACCTCTTTTGAGGACAGCTCTTTGTATGTGATGTACCCTTCTTGAAAACTATAATTCCTTTTTCACTGATGCCATTTCAAGATTCAAATGGGAGTTAACAATAGCATTAGATAGACACAGCATCACGAGAAAACCAAATTCGTAGTCATCATACTGGGTGGTCATGTGCAAACACGATTACAAAGAAACGATCGCTAACGTAAATTTTAGATTTGGAATAGAAATGTGAATTATTAATATTATTGCAACCATTCCTTTTAAATGGTTCTCTGCGCTTACCGAAGGAGAGGCCTGCACTGTGCTCACAAGTTTCAATGCCTTGGTCTCTGATTTTCAACCAATCTCCACGCACTTTTAGTGTTCGGCAGATCACGTTCTGATGCAAAGAGATTTCGTGTACCTGCTGTCACCCTGTTCATGAGGTGTTTTTTATTTGTGGCAACTTCGTCGACGTAACGCATCACTAAACCCTTCTTGGGCGATGACATGGAGACATCCTTCGTTAAGGTTTTTATTTTATTTTATTTTTTTAGTCAAATCTTGTTCCGTCGCAGACAGCCCAGCTCAGCGCCATTAGTAACAGGACTTCCCAAAAGTTCACCCATCTAGGAATCCATGGTGACTCGAATTGCGTAACTTCCGTGTCGCTACGGAGCGTAGTAAAGCAATTCGGTTAACTACGAGTTGCCTAACAATCAGGGGCAACTGTACATGTGACTTAAATTATGAATTCCCCTATCGCATGTTTGTAGGCAAAAAAACAACAACAAAATACTAGTGCTACAACAGCTAGTATTATGTCGCCGGTAAGTTAATTACACGCTAAATATCGCGAAAAGTATTAAAGTTTTTGAAAAATTGTATATGATCTTATTTCAAAATCTACCTTTAAGGAAAAGATTTCATTAAGGGGAAAATATTTACCTTCATAATTGTAGTTTTAGAAAGACGCCGAACAAATTTTGAATTTGTGCAATTTTCGAAAAATCAATTTTTAATGAAAATGAGACCTGCATCATTCTCTTAAACTTCTTTCACAGTATCCAACACTAACATTTAATAAAAAACGAGGGAGCCATTTTTTTGAAAATTAAAAAGAAAATCCCAGCGGCTTCAAGAAAAGTACCCCCCAAAATTAAAATATCGGTTTTAAATGCAAGGAACCGCGACATCAGCCACATCGAGTGGGGAATATCAATTTTGGAGAAAATCAGTTGAACGATTAAGCCGCTAGCGTTGTTCACAGACGGACGGACGGACGGACAGACAGACAGACAGACAGACGTTTTGCCGTCCTTCGATTTTCCGGTATCACGGACCCACAAAACATGGATTCTGGCTATATCCCATGTTAGAGGAGTTTTTCTAACTGTAGCTACTGAATTTATCCACTTTTTCGTCACCAGGGCCTTGTAATAGAGTTTTTCTGCTGAAAATTCTCTCTACTCTGCAGCGAGAAAGTAAAAAGTGTTCATCTCCGACCCCGTTCATTTCTTAAAAGTCAGTTACCATTTCTTCTGAAGACGGTTCCACACATTCGTCATTCGCCGAGCAGCGAGCTACTGCTCGCCCAATCCCGATCTGCTGATGTGTTCGGCGAATATGCGCCCCCCTTTGATGTGTCCTAAAGACCGACACGCGGTGGGTAGGGTTCGGCGCTCGGCGATTCGCAAGCAACCTGTCCACACTACTCGGGGTTGAGCGAATGCCGCATGCGTGGAGCCGCCTTGAGAAGTGGTGCTGGTGGTGCGCAGGTGTGCGGGCGGGCAGCGGGTGACGTACCGCGTGCGGCTGCGCGGGGCGCCCCCGGAGGGGAAGGAGGAGGAGGAGGAGGAGGAGGAAGCGCTGGTGCGTCGGCTGCGCCTGGTGCGGGCGGGGCCGGCGCTGCGCGTGGTCGGGGTGCGCGGGGCGCGCGCCTGCGCCGCGGACGGCCCCTGGCCGCGCACGCCCGCAGGCGGCGTCGCGGCGCTGCGCGTCCCGCCCGCCCCCGGCGACGTCCGCGCGCGCCGCTGCCTCGCCGACGCGCGACGCGGCGCGCGCTGGGAGGCCGCAGCCCGCGCCGACGCGCCCGAACAGCACGCGCTGCAGCAGGTACGTTCGCCCCTCAACAATGAAACACATTAACCCTACAAAACAAAGTCCTCCGCTCAGCCTTAAATTCCCCATGGTACATTTCAAATGTACAAGTTCACAAGTACTTACAATTCCCTCCAGTAAGCCCAGCACATCGCATGCACCTCCGAAAGATTTTTCAACAAGCTTCATAACCTCGCTTTCCAACCGACATTCACATTGGGGAAAAACACTCATCCTCATCTAAACCGCATCCCATCCAGATTCTCCAAAGATAAATTCCGTCCTCCGTAACTCCAATTCTATCCATATATCACAAGCCCCGTTACCATCACCCTGATTTTCCATTGACGAGCCCAGTGGGGTCACCCCTCATTTTTTAAACTGTATATTATTACGAATATGTATATATATGAATCACCAGCAAACAATTCAGATACTTTTCTGACAAATTTTTTTCCCGTGCCAAATCATTTACGTCTTCTGCTCTACTAAGTGCAGGCCAGTGTGAGACTTTCCTCGTAAGTAGTGTGGATCTTGTGAAGTGGACGCTTCTTTATGTTTCTGACGGAAACACGGCTTCATATTCATCATAGATTTTTAATGATTTATTGACCATGTTCCCAGAGGTCCAGGTACTGCTAATTCGTCATTGTGGTCGGATGAACTGATGGCAGAAGAATTATGTGGATAACTGATCTGGACAAGCCAGATATTTGTATCATGAAGTAGCCGACATTAAAATGCCGTTTGGTGTTCTCCTCAATATTGGTAGAGCGAATGCCAATGATTTGAGTTTTCCATGCAACCACAATCTAAGGTTCATTGTACAGGCGTTACAACACTGATGAGCACCTCATGGTTTGTTCTATCGCAAACACGGCAGCCAAAGTATAATTTTGTAAATATTTTTTCATATGAAGTTTGGATGTAAATCTTCCACAAACGTAACAAAAGTTATCGGGTCCATTCGCATACTTTCGATGTGAAATGACGATTTGCGTTCTATCGAACCGATTCAATTCAACTGATCATGTGGCGAATTTTACTTTATAAAACCCATAGTCCTGTAATATATTAACGTATTGGAATCACACGCAAATCAGACTCGAACCTAACGTGCACTGTACACTTCGGCATGGCACCGACTGACTCGGAATCTGCCACATCAATAGTTGGATAGTTGCATACTTGCGATAAGGTAAGGGGCTAAAATAATTCCTTGCGGTGACTGATGAGCAGTAGGAAATACGAGTGTTTACTTGACTTGTTTCCAAAACATCTACTAAGACCACTAAGATATACTCGTAATTAGCGTGACTACCGGACGCGAGAATAAAGGCGACAATCTCCTGATTCAGAAGGTAATAAAAACCACGAAAGCCTAACTACCGATCAGACCGATCGACCACGCCACAAGAATGATTCTCGAGACAGCGGCTGATTTCGACCTAGCTTTATTAATGTGATCGAAATCCGACACGTCGGAGGCTCGAACCATACAACCTCTCGGTTCATGTTCATTGTTCTCGGGTTGGACGTGTTGGTGACGAGTTTTTGATTGATTGATTAATTGGAGATTCCTGAATAACGAGATCCGGCGCCGACCTACGTCGACTTGCGGGGATTTTCCCCCAACCAGTTATCTCTCACCAGCGTGATACCGCCCCAGCTGAAACAAGTTCTAAGTTTACAGCAGGTCTCCCGATATAATATGTGAGGTAGTATAGTGCGTGTAAGTGTAAGTAACGAATGAGGATAGGGTAAGGAAGGAAAAGCCGCACGAGATTCGTGGCCCATTTATTAGGGTACTTCTCCGGCATTCGTCCGTTATTCATTGGATACAACAAGGGGTGCAAGCCTCCCTTCATAAAAAAACACGACCACACCATAACACCATATTGGACGGGTTCAGATACTTTTGATCACATAGTGTTGGTCCTTGCCGGCCTAATTTTTGAAAAAAAGAAGTTTAAATTAATAGGGGCTCTTATGGAAACACTATTATGGGCAAAATTTTCTTTTAAGTTTTTGAAGAGTGATACAGTTAGTGTACCTTTTTCTTTTCTTTAATACGCAATAATCTTTTTAGGGATCAGATGATATTAAATAGTATATAGCATATCTCTCCGGGCATTCTGAAGAGTAATTTATAAAAAGCTGCTGTGAAGTTTATTGCAAACGGAAATACTGGCTCATTCTTTCACATATTGTGTAATTCTAGCGCCACTTACTAATTTCTAGACTGTGGAACTTCGTTCAGTTGTTTATTTTTACTGTTTGCGGACATCGAAATGAAATAAATCTAATTTTACCTACCACCAAAAATAAAAGAAAAGTAGCCTATTTTTATTTTGTTTAATTGCATATTTCTCGGATTTTTTCATTAACTGTATGTATTCATGTGGCATATTGAAGAGCATATATTCCCGGTTTTTGCTGGGTGAGCTGAAGCGAGACATTTTGATTGCTTACTAACTTTTTTGTTTATTATAATGCTTGAAAATCTATTTTTATTACATGTGTTTTATACTACAATGTAAAATAAAGATTTGTATAAATAAATGTTATAGTATCTGTTGCTCTGTATCTTTTTGTATAATACATATTCTGAGTTTTAAGTGCACGTATTGGCTATTTTAAGTGCATGATTGCATGCATAATTTTTAATTTTTTTAGTGTGTGATGTTCCGTTGTCTACTCAAGACAAGTAGTAGAGCATTTGGAGCGTAAACTAAAGATTTTCAAGCAAATATCTACAGAAATTTGACAATTATAACTTCCTTTCATGCAGCTAAATCATCTCACAACAATGAGATGTGATTCACAGGTATTCGCCGGAGCAACGTAGAATTCCATTGTTGCATTCCCTGCATTGTTGATATTCCCTGAAAGTTAGCAATTTTTATTCCACACATTTCAAATAGGTTTTAAATCATTTCTAAATTTTCATGCGTAAATGTATTACAAAAGGTATAATGTAAGAAACGAACAAAGCAATATCAAATAATCCATACTTGCGTACAAATTACGATATGACTTACGAAGATTCCAACTGTGTGGAATCGTTCACAAAGCGCAGTAAAATCGGTGCAGGCATTTAATTTTGCTGCCAATTTACACAACAAAATTGAACATGACTTTATTTGAAGATTTATTATTGATAAATACATTTCATTAAGAAAAAAATAATTTATTTTCACATTTATACTTATTTATACATAATACATTTATTCACATTTATGCCAAAAACAAAGGGTAGACAATTCGAGCAAAAATTCAACATGACCTTATTTATATATCTGCTTTTTATGAACCATTTCATTAAGAAAAAAAATGTATCTTAACAATTGTTCTTGTAGGAAGATGCTGAATAAATTTTGATTTTTTTCAATTTTCGAAAAAATTAATGTTTTTAACCAACATGATACCTAGGTCATTTTCTTGAACGTCCTTTACACTATCCAACAATAAAATTTAATCAAAAACGGAGCCAATTTTTTTGAAAATGTCCCAGGAACTTCTTCTAAAGCACCCTCGAAATAAAATATCGGACAAACATCAGCCAGATCAATCGGGGAATATCAATTTTGGTGAAAATATGTCTTTGTTCACAGACATCTTGTTGTCGCAAAGTTTTCGCAATGTAAGAATTATTAGTAGCTAAGTTAGTGCACCACTGAAATTTTATCTCTGGATTATCATATGCATGTACTTGCAATTTAATTGCAAATGGAGATTCTAATATAGTGCTTAATCTTAATTATAAATATGATTATGTTAAAAATATAAAAGCTAGTCTTTTACATAAGGGTTCTATATAAATTGGTGGCAAAGCTTTTGTAAATCATACCAAGCTTTAGTGTAATCATTCCTGTATTGATCATTTTCTGCCACGTGTGGAATGTGACATATTTTCAACTTATTCATCTCCGTTGACATCCTACTGCCTGTGCTGTGAATTATAACTTCTCTTATCAACTGCAAATATGCTTTTCATTATTTTCACACAGACTACTATTGGGTGAATATGATACATGTTCCAGAATGTCACAGTCAATGCAGGTGCTCTGTCACAATATTAGCTACATGACACCATTAATTGTCATGAAGCATGATGGGAGTCCATGCTAGAACAGGCAGTCACTTTTTCCTGAATGTATACGGTATTGCATGTACTAAGTGCTAATAGTATTATATGCTGCATTGACAGTCTGAGAAATACAGCATTATGAGGAATTACCCCATTGAGCAAGGTACATGTTCTTAGAGGGACTGGATGTTTCCGTTCGTTCCATTAATGCTTCAAGCATGGTTTTCCATTGAGTCCATAATTCATCAATAGTGACAATCCTTTCAGGGAAGTCTTCACTATTGTAGTGATTCAGTAATTCTTATTCAAGTAGATAAAGAGGCCACTGTTGAACTTCAGTGATTTGATACAGTATCCACAGAGCTGCAATGTTTGTGGAACCCAGAAATGGCATGCAGAATATTTAGTAGACATACTGTTTTGGGGCAGTGTGTAGGATTTTTCTAAACTTATTGTTAGGATGCTTTCAGTTTTGTCATCTGCTTCATGACACTCGACTTGGATTGACCTTCATGACCTGCATTGGGCTTACACCCAGACCTTACCGCGACATTTCTTCATATCCAATCCAATTCACCTATCTGAATATGACAGCACAGTTGCCACTACTTTGTATCCAACTCTTTTATGAGAACTTTTGTGTGTTAAAAATTACGAAACCAAAATTTTTTCTATGAATTTACTATTTATAAAAGTGCATATGTTTAATAAATCTTTCAAAGAGGTATTGTTTGTATGATGCTAAATACAATTGTACAGTTTCATCCACATAATTTCTCCTGAAACTGATCACCACCCACTACATACAGTAGTTATACATTAATAATATATTTTAATTATTTCCAATGGAAAAAAATATTTCATTCTTATAACTCAGAAAAATAACCTAAATGATGAATTGTTTAATAACAGAATTTTTAAACAA